TAAAGTATTCAGTTCATTTCACTCCGTTATTATGTTCAGTATTGATCTCACTTTAGAAATTAGGTTGAACCAGTTGGAAATAGACATGTTTGGATCACATAACATGTAATTTTCATGTTACACTCCCATGATAGATCTGTGTCATTTGGTTGTATGAGTGTATGTGACCATTGATGAATTTAGTCACGTCAAATGTGACCAAAATCGCTTTGATGGTATATCAATATGACTAATGGATGAGATTGTTTGGAAATACCCATAATAATGATAGCAAATTTTTGAGCTCATAAGGTTGTGCACATTTGTAAGATTACACGTATGGTCCAGTGGGAGATTGTTGAAAAAATTCGAACATATGGGGCCACACATGTAATATATTAAAATGTGTAGTGCTATTGTTTAAAAATTAGTCAATTAAAGTGATCTGTTAAAGTTAATTTTGACTAATGAGTATTAGATTTCATGAAATTATAGTGTACAAATCGGAATGTTGTTTTAAATTGATGAGGGGCTAATTTGATACAACTAAAAGATAATAACTGCATATGCAGTTATTATTATTATTTTATTGGGTCATGGTCCCCAAGTTGATAGTGAATTTTTCATTCTCTGCATCCCCATTAACAGAGAGTAATTGAAGCAAAAATCATGAATCAATTGGAAGATCACAACCCATTCAGGCAAACAATCAGACATTTATGGATCAAGGTATGCTTATACTTTATTCTTTTCTCTGATTTCAACATGGAGTATGTATTAGGGTTTATATGTGAAAAGGGTTTCATTAAAGCATATGAATTGATAATCATTTTCTTTTTTTCTAACATGAGGTGGCTAAGGGCATGGGAAAAATAGACTGGAATAAATGGCTTAAGAGGCCAGTGAGTACCCATTATTGGCACTCTGATCATTGTAAATAACCTGAATTGTTTCTTTGTATGGAATTCTTGTTTCTGGTTACCGAAAATCTAATCTGGCCAATATTGCTTGAGGCAGTGACTACCTATCAGTGATTATTTCAATCGTGGTGGCGTGAATTCATTTGTACTTGTTGTCAATGGCATTGTTCCTGTTTTCCTATCTCAATTGCATACTTCTATTCAAGACTTTGTTTAATGAGTTCTGCTATTGTTTTACCACTAGCTATTTGTTTTATTTTTAATCAGTCTCTGGCAAAATTATCTTTATGCTGTTACCGATTGAAGAAAATGAAGGACTGAGCATGGACAATATGCTTTAGCTGAATTGTTTAATACTTGATCTAGTGAGAATAATTTGATTTGCAAATTGTTCCTGTATTTGATTAATTTGACTTAATGAAATCCGTTGGAAGGGAAAATGAACCGGGTTCAATTTCTTGTATGTTTTGTTTTTGGTGATACATTTCTCATTTTATTCTTCTGTGTAGCACCTGTCGTTTTGTTGTATTTTGTGTCTCTCTATTTGCGCTAAAAACACCAATTCTTGCTTTCATATTCTTGTGATTCCCTTCGCGAGGTTACTGTGTTGTTATGGCCTATATTATTTGAATAGACTGTTAATTTTTCCATGAAATTTAAATTAAGTTCGAAGTTGTGGAGTTGTTGCTCTTGTTCGAACATCAAAAGCATCTTTAGAAAAATGTCAAGGCACGAGACAATAGACGTTCACAATTAGTTGGTAAGTGCTTATACAAGTTAAAAACACGTTGATTGTAAACACGGAATACTGGCTAGAACTTTTGAGTAACTAGTCTATAAAAACCTATTATTTGATCCATCTTTTCTTGGTGCAGAGCTTGGTTAAGCCTTCAATCCAGACTGCGGTTGTAAACCAGATCTTATGAGTACTTGTAACAGAACTAACTATATTTTTTCCCCGATGTTTCTCGTTTCTAGTTGACGAGAAGTGCAGAATAAAATGCATTTTTTTAAATTTCGTTTTTCCTGTATCCTAGGCTTGTATCTTCGCTGTGAACTGTAGATGTAACAAATGTGGGATTCGAGTAGAAAATGAAATATATTTGACTTTGTATTAACGTTCCTGCAGCTTTATGTCGTTTTTGGATGTCCAGACATCTTATAATCTTGTTATAAAGTTTGTATCGTTTGCATTTGAGTCCAAATGGACTCTGGCCTCGAATATTATGAAGTTCGAGATTCTTGCCCACTGAATTCATAGATAAAGAATTTCGACATTGATCCCGGTTCTTGTAGGGATCATTTTCAGATTTTTCACACAAGGTCTCCCAACTTATAATTTGTTCCACATTAGCTTGTTGAACTTCAATTTGTTTCGAATTAGCGTATATTTGATTTCAACATTTCTTTGTAGGGATTACAGCTTGTCGGGTTAGGTTTTAATTACTATTCGTTGAAAAACTTCATTCGCTGTTTCAATTTAATTATTTATTTATTTATTAAAATATAATTTAAATTAAAAAAAATTATAATGAAATAAAAGAATTCCGCAAGGAATATGTTTTTTATCTTGCCTTGTTTACTATTCGAGGGATAGCAGTGCAGGACAAGTCAGGGTCGAGAACATTTATCATCTGTGTTTTTTTGTCTCGTGTTTGAAATTAAAGGTCCACATTCATGTGTAAAATGAAAATTATGACATAATAGTAAACCATTAATAGCTTGTCGACTTGAAAAATTTGTATGGTTCAATAGTAATAGAATTAAAACATAGTAATATAGCATCAAACTAGCTCAAGGTTATACATTGTGTCTAGAACGTGATATGGATAATTAGTATTTAGTCATTGGGATATGTGAATGGTTAAACTGAACAAGAATATAAATTAGGCGAGCATTTTAATAAAATGAAGTTTGGGGACTAAAATGGAACAAACTCACATGTCATATGACTTCTACTGAAAATTTCCCTTCTTATTAATGCAAAAACCTATTTCAGATTTTTATTGTTTGTTAATTGTTTTGAATTTTTGTTACTTTTTTTTGCTGTCACAAAATTTCGTCATTTTTTTATCGTTTGTTACTTTTTTTTTGAATTTATGTTACTTTTTGAATGACAAACATCACTTTTTGATAAAGTTGTTTTAAGTTTTTGATTTAAAGATATTTGGCTTTTTGATTGATGTTTTTTTGTCAGTAAACTAATTTAAAGATACTTTGCGATGAACGAAGAAACATGAGAGACAGTGGTTGTGTCACTTTTTTTCCGTCACTTTATTGAACCGATTCCAATGTTTTCATTGGTGTCATCCTTTTGAACTTTTATCACATTTTTTTAGTGTTTGTCACTTTTTTTAATTTTGTCACTTTTTTTTTTTGGAATTTCTGTCATTTTGTTTAGTGTTATTTTTCAATCACTTTCTTAAAGTTTTTGTTGCTTTTTTTAACGACAAACATTACTTTGTTAGTGAAAGTGTAATAAAAAGCTGAGTGACACTTAATTTTACACACTACTTTTTACTTTATTTTTTTGTCACTTTCTTGAAATTTTCATTATTTTTTGAATGCAAAATCACCTTTTTTAATAAAAGAGTGATACTTAAATTTTAAAAAATTACGTTGTATCTTTTTATATTAAAAGTGTCAATTTTTATTTTATATTAAAAAGTGATACTTAATTTTACAAAGCAATTTTTGCTTTCAAATACTTTTCATGTAATTTTTCAAAAGATCTTTAATTTTATGGGTATTTTGTAAATTACCCTTTAAAAAATCGGACCGGACCGAATTGGGATATGTTGTTTTTTCATTTCTAAGATTTTTATTGGTACTATGGTTCAGTTCCATAGTTAGATATAGAACCGATGATTCTAATTTTGATATTTTCATTGGTACTTGGTTAGATTTAAATCCATTCGGAATCAGATTGAAACGAATCGCGCCCGCTCGTACATGGAGACCGAGTTTCAAGCTTTATTAGTTTAGACAAACATAGACGAGGTCTAGGTGTAAAAAACATTATCTTATATTATTTTTAATTTTTAATCATTCTAAAGATTATTTAATAATTAAAAAAAGTACATATTAAACATCTAAAATTATAAAAAATTATACATACTTAATAATTCTTATAATTAGTCAATTATACGATTTACCAAACATCTAAAATTATAAAATACTATATTTGCCTAATAATTCCTACAATTAGTGAATTATACAACTTAAAAGGAAAAATTTGAAACTAAAGTCAAACTAAAAGCTTTTAAATCAGGAAAAAAATAAAATAAAAATTAATAAAGCCCATCTAGTCACGCATTAAGTGGTCAACTTGACAGTTGACAACTTAATTTTGCACTTATCGTCAAGACATGATGTTTCTCCCGCGCCTTGCGCCTAGGCGACGCGCCTACTTCGAAAACACTACTCGTAATGGAGGTAAAGTACTTGAGGTCATTCTAGCTTGTTTCCAATTGAAAAATATTCCATTAACTTGGTCTAAAATCTTGCATCCCGTATTGTTAAATCCTCTTGTACTGTGCATTAAACATGTTATCGCAAATTCCTATATGATTCTCCACCATTGCTACGTCTTTTCTTTAATATCCCCACAAAGCCAGTTAATTCCTAAGATACTGCATAGTTGGTTCCAACAAAATATGTTCGAGTAATTTAAACTTTTGCAGTATAAGAAAGCAAAAGGGCGAAAACTTATTTCCCATTATAAATTATGCAAAATATGCCAAGTTTTCACCATCACTCAGATTTTACAGCAGCATTTTTAGCTCCAACAGCAAAGAATTCAGTTGTAACTTCCAGGGGCATGCCCTTGGTTTCTGGAACCGTCAAGTAGATGAAAATCCACGAAAAGATGCAAACAACAGCGTAAATTCCAAAAACACCTGCTAATCCAATAGAGCTAAGCATCACGGGCAGTGTGTAAGTAACAATTACGTCACAGATCCAAAAAACAAGGGCGCATATGGCAATGCAGATTCCACGAACCCGAGTCGGAAAGATTTCAGAGCAGAGGATATTTGGGATAGGTCCGTAGCCCATGAGGAAACAGCAGAAATATATCACAACACAGACAGTTGAGATCACAGCATGAGCTATAGTGCCCAAGTTAACAACATTGCCAATGACCAGTACGATGAGTGATACGACCAGTACCGGAATAGTCGTGAGCAGGAAGGACCTAAAATAAGTGATGTAATAACAACCAAGTATAAGCAAAGGGAAAAAGATCAAACATGATTGATGCTACCAAATTTTGTAACTGCTTGACCACTGGAATAAGATCGAGGATGACCACGAACAGAGCTTCCTATACTTGAAAATAAGGCATTTAGGCGTGTCCTATTTCTCCTCAACCTAGGAAAAACACCCCTATCACAATTAGAACATGATGGCATTAGGGCTTCTAGGCCCATATGGACGCCTAATCCTATAGATCTGGTTCGAAACTCGCAGGTGTCCTAATCCTAATGGAATTAACACAACAAACTCTATAATGACATGGTCTAAGATCATTATTCAGATACACTTTGCAATATTCACTTCATAGTCTCACACTCATATTCTCTCTGCATTTGCTGACATAAGCATCGGACGGAAGAGACACCTCAACGCCTTTGTTTCAAGTATAATAAAGCTCTGTTCGTGGTCATCTTTGATCTTATACTGTGGTCGAGCTCAGGTCATTCCAGGTACAAAATTCGGTAGCAGCAATGACAAGAAAAAAACAGAAGAAACACCAAAACAACAACAAAAATGGAAAGATGATTATAGAGAATCGTCTAATTATCTGACTAGTACGTAGAATCAGTGCTTCAGTTAAAAGTAACTTCCCAAAAATGACATGTATATTTTATTATCTTGGTGCAAATCAAACATACATTTTAAAGAAAGAGAGGAAAAAGAGTTACCTTCGGCTGGCTACATCCATTAACCTCATAGCAACAGCTATACAAGGAAGCATCAAAAAGTTTGTGAATGCACTAATGAGGAAAGATACAGATTCTGATCCAACTCCAAGGTTCGAAAGAAGAACACTAACACCTGCCTGCTGAAGAATTTGAGTGTAGTACAAAACTCCATTGATACCAGAAAACTGCACAAACACAATGAGAAAACATGAGGCATAAGATGGGAAAGGTCTATCAGCTGACGAAATCTTGTCATCTTAAAAATAACACTAGTTGCTCATCAGTTTCAAAAGGTTAATACATTTTTCAGAATCTTTAATAAATCATGCAGCAAGAAGCAAGCATCGGAGACAACACGAGGCTTGACTGCAAATTTCCCTACCCCCTAGCCCCCAACCCAAACGACATAATCAAGAAAAAGAGAGCAAGAGATACAGAAAATAATGTTTAGTATAAGATAGAAAACAACATTATATGCCTCATGATAATACTGTAATTAGAAACTACAGTTATGAGCTGTTTGACTTGCACGGATCATACTCATTTAACACTAAAAACTTCAAAATTTATACACAATAAAAGCAGAAGCTAGAAATGCGTTATCAGAACAAAAATATATTATACCTGCTGCAGTATTTGGATCCCAATTCCAACAATTAAGGCACTTTTAACTCCTGGTTCAACAAGAGCAGTCCAATTAGGCCCTTTTGAAGCAGTTTCAGATGGATGCATCGTTGCTGGTCCAACTGGATGCTGATCCATAAGCTTCTCTGAATAAAAAGCAGGCTGGCTTATGAGAGCCGCTTCCTGGATGTACTCCCCATCTACTGGAATATTACCACCTGAAAGTGATACAAGAGATCCACGTCTAGACCTCAGCCCCTCCTCCTGATGCAGATAAATCCTTTTAAATCCTCCTTCCTTCTTTCCATCTTCAACTTCTCTCCCGGACCATTTCCATGCTAACTGCCAACCACCACCAATTCCCATGCTACTGACTGCTTCTTCTGCATTAATAAGAGTACTATGGCGTCTCATGTTTTGAATGCTTCCATGGGATTCAGGTGGGATCATGTCTTTCTCCATACTTGTATTTTGACGTGAGATTAATGGGCTCTGCAAACTGTCGTCTGAGTCTGCACCATCCTCCGATGTGTAATCCTCACCTTCTCTCTGCAAACTTTCTTCGTCCCACTCCTCATTCTTAGCATGAGGTTCTGCCGTACTGATCATGCTGCCGAAATTAGGGAATAGCATGCTTCGCATGCTTCCCATTTCGGGTAGTCTCTCATGTACACTGCCAAATAACGTTACAAGAGGATCCATAAGAGGCGCACTCTGATTTACCATGCTTCCTTGCCAGGAGACAGGGGCCAGACGACTCTGTCCTGTGACTGGTTTGGCAACCCATGAGAGACCCTCCTCAGGTCCATAAAACTTGATATGGTCTTTATCAGTGGATGGTTCCTGATCGTCATCAAGTTCAACTGCCGGACCGATGATGTACTCTTCTATGGATGTCTCACCACCAACAGCCAGACCTTCAAACAGTAAAGCCATCTCAGCTGTAGATGGAAGACTCATCAGTAAAATTCAAAAGATATTTCAATATTTGAAATTCAACCAATCACTTTGACAGAGAAAATGGCAAAATTCCATATAGCTCAAGCACTAAAAGTAAGATCTATCAGGAACATAAACATGGATATCTTTAGCAACTACTGAGAGAAAAAAAAGTATAATGAGATATGTAGCAGGTTATTGTATATGAAAACAAAAGGACAAGCCTCATTCTCAAAAAACTTGAGGTCGGCTACATTAAATTTATTTCGTCACTCATTGCATGTACTGAGAGGTCCAATGACATCAAATCTTTTACAACTATATCACTCTTGTCAACTCAAGTCTACCTCTCCCTCTTCTAATCCATTCTACAGGGATTGAATAGTTATTATGAAGAGAGCTTGTTTAGATCTATGCAAGGCATGCTCCAATTAGTCTTTGGAATGATTAATGTGTCATTACCAAACCATGTGCCATATACGCGCTCTTGAACCTAATCTGCAACGAATCATTATATGACCAGGTTTCACCATATTAGCAACTCTTTTTTTTTTTTTTTTGTGGGGGGGGGGGAACTACAAGTACTACAGGAACGGATCATCGGTGCAAACATATATTAGGTAATTCTGCAAAACATCATCTTCAATTTTTGGTAAATGATACAGAAAAGGGGAAATAAAAGAAAATAGGAACTTCTGCCATTTAGTGCGCAAGAGAAAAGGGAGGGGATTAACACGGACATTTAGACTTACAAGTCAAGACGATAAGAATTATTTCCAAATCCATCAGGGGATAGTGAAACCGATCATCTAAAAATATGAAGCTAAAGGATATCTCCCAGTTCAATAAATTACAGGTTTTAGAGAGTGCATAGGATTGAAAGAAAAAGAAGTCAAACACTTGTTGACAAGAGATCATAGACGTGTCATCCATTGATTCACCATGGTGCATGCAGACGGCCAAGAGTTCAGGGTTGTCATAAATACTAAATATCACAGCGCAGAAAATATCTGATTCTATCTGGTTTTCATTAGTCAGCAGAAGCAATCAAAATTTCTACCTACTAAAACCAAATAATACTGCAAGAACAAAGTTTTTCTTCTAATGATCATGAAAAAAAAATGCAAATTAATAGACAAAGGTTTTACCTAATAAAACCAAATAAATCATGTCGCAAGACACATTCTTCTTGCAATAGCATATGAAGATTGACCGATCTTTTGAGCTTTTACAGAACCATAACTCGAACAATGTTAAGCCTTCACTAATTTAAATATACAGCAAATACTGTTGAACATTGATATCTAAGCTTAGAGATGAAGTTGCTAAGTCAACAAACAAGAACTCATCGATCACAGAGAAGTAGGTTTAGAAATGTACCAGAAACATCTTTCTTGCCACGCAGTTTCTGCAGAACTGTTTTTGCCTCAAGCATCCTTCCTTCGCTTACAAGCCATCTAGGAGATTCAGGCAAATATAGCACTGCTAATGCAAAATAAGAGAGAAGGAATAGATAGAACTCCTAACATCAATCGCCAGCTAGGTAATGGCATCAAGGACATTCCAAAAACCATACAGTATGCCAAAAACATTCCGCCAGTGCCAGTGAACTGAGGAAGAGTATTTAACAAGCCTCGAATATCTGATGGGGCAGTCTCAGATATATACAGTGGCACTAGAGTAACAGCCAATCCAATACCGAACCCATCTAAGAGCCTTGCTAGAAGTAGTACGTACACATTAGGCGACCATAACATTATCAAACCACTGAGAAAATAAAACACGGATGAAAGGATAAGCATTGGACATCGACCAATCCAGTCAGATATTGTTCCTGAGCAAGTTGTGATAAGCGTGGCTCCAATAAGTGACATCGCCACGACAAGCCCTTCTACAGTAGCTTCCAAATCAAGCTCCTTTTTTATGTAAATAACAGCTCCTGAAGACGTGAGAAAAGGAAAATAAGCATCAGACCAAGAAGATTGTTCATTTTTTGAATTAAGAATATACTACAATCAAGAGCGAAAACTTAATCATTCAACTCATAAACTGAAGTTCAGAAACCAAGGAAATGAAAGTAAACAGAAGAAAATTAAATAGAGACGTTAACAGCACTGAAACGTCGTAAAGATATAATCGAAAAACTATAAATTTCCATATCTATTAAATATGGAAACATATCCACATATACCCCAAGACCCGATGAAAGTAATTCAATTCATCTGTAGCAGTGAAAATTCAGATTCTGGGATAGCTTTTAAGACGGAATCCAAGACTCATTAAAAGTAATATGCATCATGGAGAAAAATAAGGAAAATTGACCATAGAAAAAAAGTGAAAACAAGTACCTGCAATAGTTGCATTATCCCAACCCTGCAGAAAGTTGCCAACAGTGGCAGCAATAGCAACCAATGCAGCCCCGTTCATCTTTTCAAAAAGCAGTAAAAAACCCAATCTTTTTGACTAACCTGAGGCAAGAAAGAAGATATTTTAACTTAACAATTAGTAATCCCAATTAGTAACTCGGATTTAAAGCACATTTCAATTAGTAACTCTTCAACAAGCTTTATGCTTTTGAACGCATCGTTTATGTATAAGATTGTCTTAACAGATAAAAAAAAGCTAACTAAAAATTAGTGGAAAAGTTCATCAACATCAAAAATAGTTTGAAAGGGATTAAAATCAAAGATTCAAATTGAAAGAGTGGTTACCTTCTATAGAAGAAGAAAGGGCGAACGTCGGGCGACTCGAGAGATACGAAAGACAATCTTTATGAATACTGGCATAATTACTCGAGAGATACTAACACAAAGTACTTGTATAGACAATTCAGCATAATTATTTCTGGAGTTTGGCTGTGCTTTTTGAATGAAATCTTCAACACATACTGGCATTTTAATGCTTCAATAACTTGTTTAAGACAAAAGTAGACTTCAAAGTTCCGAAACTGAAAAAACAAAACCCCAACACATTCTTTATGATCTGATCATCTCTCGGGGGAATTAAAAAAAAACAGACACAGACACAGACACTGCAATTCACTTAAACTCTTGTTTTCAGGGATTTTACAGAATTAACAAGCAGAAGTCATAAATGGATGTTTTAAGAGTGTGCCCACAAGTTCAAAACTGGAATAGATGAAAATCAGTGCTCAAACTAGATCTTTATTGTTAAGTGGTTTACGATTTGAATTATATGGATAGCGGGCAGCAGGAGATTTTGAGGAAGGAGAAAATGAAACACCCAAGTTCAGAGTGTAGACCTGCCAAGTGCCAACCAGTTCACTTCGATCCAGAACTATCGCCTCCTTAAAATCCTCCTCAGTTTTGTCATCAATTTCTGACCCTTCTCTTCTTTTTCAACTTATAAGTGGAGGCAGACCAAAATTCTTAAACCAGGTCACGAGAATATAAGTTGGACGTATTCTGTAATTTAGAAGTATCTCTTTCAAATTATTATATTATTATTTTTATTAAAAATTAAAATATTTTTAATTCATCGAAGAGTCAAATACTCCCTCTAAATTAAAATATTAATTTAAAAAATCTTTTGAAGTATAATTTTAAG